CTCTCTCTCTCTCTCTCTCTCTCTCTCTCTCTCTCTCTCTCTCTCTGTCTCTCCCCCCCTCTCCCCCTCTCCGATATTTTCACAAACTCACCAACCCCCCATTCCAGATCAATCATCCGAAAAAGCTACTCCACTGGACCGTATGCATGCCCTCAACGGTAGTCGTTCAGGACGAAGAACATCTTTTACTTGCTTTCAGTATTTCCCCACGGTCCAGGTGTAGTTGTCCACGCCTTCGTCCACCATATCTTGGACAAATCACAACATAACCCGTTTTGCCCGAAGTGCCGTTTTTTTGTCGATAGGTAGAATTTGGAGCACCATCAGCACGGCCCCCCAGCAAATGGAACAATGAGGGTACTTGTTACTACTTTGGCACTCTGGGCGGCAGACGTAGCCTTCGGTGAGGATTGGTAGACTTTGAGTGGGTCTACTTCGACCATGAGCGTAAAATAAGTGCCAAAACCATATGCATGCCCTGCCTGGGCTTGCTCCGAAACCAGAGCAACAAATACATTCTGTTCTGTACGGTCAACATCCAACTACCGCGGGATCGAACGAATGTTCGCGAATCCGGAATATTCATGCTGACGACGTTCGACCGGAATCTCCGCGCCACGGGCTGTGATTGATTGGTATAGACGCAGTTTCCCCTGGATGTTTCCTTTCCTTTTTTTTATCCCTCGCGGAACCTCCGATTCCCGTCTCCACTTCTATGCCCATCGCCCTGAAGGGATCAAATCGTGCCTGGACCCCGACCATGAAAGCTACAGGTGTTGTTCGTGAGAAAAATTCGTCGCGGAGAGCACCGCGTAGAGTGGACGACGATAACGCTTTGCTGGGGTCTGACCGTCAAGACCCGGTAGTTCCTTTGTTCACTCCCCGCACGACTGAAGACACCATATCGGGAATCGTTTTCGATGATGTGGAACGTGTGTTGGTGATCGCTAATGGATCACGTGCTGTTCCGGTGTCGCACCAGCCTTGCGGGGTCCTTTTTGGTGACAAGCACAATGTTGTCGTTCTTTCTCGTAACGCGCATCGTCGGTACTCCCCATTTCGCGTCTGCTCTGTACGGTCCAAATCAGCTATCTCAGTGGCACCCCGCTCGCTTCGCTCCCCCCTGAGGTTTTCGACGGTTTGGATGCGCTTGTATCTCCGTGAGTTGTGTGAACCCTTATCCTCCCCTCGGTGCAACTGACCAACAGAAGGCAACCTGCTACATTTAGTTTGAAAGTATCGAGCCTCGTCGGCCAGAGCACCGCATACGGTGGACGAGGAGAACACTTGCAGTTTGTTCGTGGTGTGACGGTCGAATATCCGATATTGTTTCTCACGTGTTCTCCCCACACAACTGAAGCTACCGTAGAACAATCAACTTTCGCTGATTAGGAACATGTGTTTGGTGATCGCTGACGGTTGATGCGCTGTTCCGGTGTCGCATCAGCATTATAGGATGCCCCTTGAGGAGGAAATGTCGTTCCCGCCCATTCCCATATTTTCTCTAACGCGCATCGTTGGCACTCCCCGTTTGGCGTCTGCTCTGTGCGGTACCAATCAGCTCTCTGGATGACAACCAGCTCGCTTCCCTCTCCGCGGGCATTTGGACCGGTCTGGATTCGCCACATTATCTGCGAGTTGTGCGATGCCTCGTTTTCCTCTCGGTGCCACTTTCCACGTGAGCTCATTTCGGCATCTTGACCATTCGAGAGTAGTATCGATTTCGCCGATTGGAGCACCGCATAGAGTAGCAGAGGAAAACGCTTGCAAGGGACTTGTGGCTTGACCATCAGAATAGGGAGATTCGTTGCAGACCCAAAACAATATTCGCACACCTACATACGTACCTTTGGGAGAACTTGTTTTCTTGGTACGAAGTGACCATCCCGCCTCCCCCCCAAACATCAATATAAATCCAGTGCAAAACCTCTCTATCTATTTCCTTTGTATCCGAGGGGTACTTTAGGGTGTTTATTGTGCATCTGCGTGCCCCCTTCCGCCCTGTGCGCTATGCCCGCTTCCGGGCTCGCCCCTCCTGTACGCTGTACGGCGTACATCACCTACATAGAAACAATGAGAGGGGGTGCATGTTCGGCGTACCCTCAGGGGGGATCGTGCGCCTAGCCCAGGATGTTGAGGCGCAAGCCTTGTAGCCAAATATGTTCTCGACGTTCAGAAGAAGCATTAGCGAAGAGGAGGAGGGGGCGGTGCGGAAGAGCAAGGGGGGCGGGAGGGGGGAGAAGTACGGGGTAGAAGAGGAGGGGGAGGGGACCAAGGGGAGGAGGAAGAGGGGGAGGAGTAGAAGGAGGAAGGGCCGGACGTACGCTCGAGGGGGCATCAACGCACCCCAGAAACCACCAGTCAGTCGTTGACTAGTAGAAAACCACTAGTCAGTCGCTGACTAGTGGTCTATCTAGTGGTCATCGGGAGCACGGCGGTTGGGTAGGAAGGTGTAGTCTTGCGTGCCAGCGAGAATGTCGGGAAGTGGTAGGCGGAACGGTAGGTGACAGAAATTAGCTCTCTTATCTCAGCAAATTACGAGCCCCGACGTGACGTACTGTGTTCCGCGGTTACCGTCGAACGTTGAGGTCCTT